CCCACCCTCTAATATATTTCTCGAGTCAAAATTCGGGGGTGTTCTGCTTATTGCCTTGAGTCTGTGACTCAGAGAACTATATACATGTCCTGCAATTTGTTTATGTTATCTTATGGTCGAGGAGAATTCTAGACCACCTACGGTGAAAAAATGGAGAAAGGGGAAAACGGAAAAAGGGAATAAAGCTGAGAGATTTTCCCGAATGTCCAAATTTGGAAATAAAATAGGCGTATAAGTTTAAGAAAGTGAAGAGAGTAAATGCCAAAGGTGGTGGAGGTTGTAAGTTTAGAGAAGAGTGACTGTCTGGGTGGTGACTAATAATTTCAGAGGAGGGGACCAGCAACTAGGGTTTCTAAGGGTCTGTTCGCTATTTTGCAGGTTCTTCCCTTTTCTAACAGACAATAGGGAAATGAAAAGAGGTGGAGAGATGAAGAAGGCAAGTTAGTGTTGAGCTGAGCTTATTATGAGATATGTGTGACCGGCATGTGTGCAAAAGTTAATTATACGGTTAAATAAATGTACTTTTGAGGCAAGGAGTGTGCGATAGACTTGCCTCCATGCGGTGCGCCCTGGGCAACGTATACTCATACGGCAAAAAAAGTCTATAAACCGGCAGTTGACTTCTGACTTCAAACTGCCATGGACCCACTGTATGTAATATTCTACCACTTTCACAGTACTCACCTCACCTTTTTTCCACCTTATCTACTTCCGTATTTGAAACACTCTTCTATTCCTCCCCCTCCCTTGACTTTTTTCTCACTTTGATGTTCTTCCCTTGTGTGAAGCCTGAAGTCAACTAAAGGGCCAATGATAACTTTCACAACGCCTACCATTTGATATAAACTTTTGAGGCAAGGGAAAAATTCAGTAAATATAAAGTAATTAGGTTAGTTTGAAGGACATGCGAAAAGTTCATTGGACGGAGAGATTTAGGGGCAGTTACTTATTGCCTAATCAAGTGTACCTGTGTAGGAAAAATTTATAATACCAAAATTCAAAGCCGAAGGTGGGTAAGAGATGTTGAAGAATGGAATAGCAATGCATAGCATTGAAGTCGTAATCGCCGCTTTTGTCCGCGCACCTTTTCTGATATTCCGGAGACCAAAACTTGAGTGTATTTCTATGTCACACTCCTGGCCATTAACTCATTTGTTAAGATAGAGATATAAGCGATTCGCTTATTCTCATTGAGGGTCTTCGTTTCCAGGACTTTGTTCTGTCTAAAACCATTTACGGATAAATGTGTCAAACTTTGGATCATAATAAGCAGGGTATTTCAATGTTTGAATGGTACTATTGCTTTTGTTGACGCAAAAAGGTGTCCCCATATGATCTGCTATGCATTTTAAATCATTAAATATGCAATCGAAATTCCCAGATCCGTATAATCGTATGTGCAAGCACTCTCGGAGGTGCTACGTTACTTGCGCACAATAAGTTTTGAATCCATTTATCCCAGTGCAAAATGACGAAAAATCATTACAGAAGTATCTACTCAGATCGGGACAAGATCTGTCGTGTGCAGACAGGTTCAATACAAATTATAGTTTTTGTTCAAAATAAAATGACATGTTAGCATATTCTTCCCATGTTCAATTTCATAAAAAAAAGTTGTAAAAATGAAGCTATTTCATTTAAAAATGGATAAATTCGAACGGATAAAATAGATGACGGATTTAGTTGACAGCATGAAACCAATTTCCAGTCTAATTTGTCAATTTAATGAAAGGGAAGCAGTAAACCGTTACCTGTCGAATGGTTGACTAACGATGTGGCCTGTCACATCTAACAATATAGTCAGTCATCATTCAACAAGTCAGATGACTCTCTGGCTAGAGCGCTCCTACTTCCACGAATAAAGGCCACATTAGTTATTTCCGCAGCCTCCAGTCTCAAATCGAGAAGTTCATCTCCAAACTCTTTCAAATGTGTGCATTACACTAATGAATATGACATTCAAATTTACCGTTTGAACATCGTAGCTTATCTTAGTCTCAACAGCAAGACTGTGACTCGTTTGTTTTCATTTATTCCATAAAGCATGTTGTCAACTGTAGGAAAGAGGGTTATGTGATGGCTTCTGCGTGAAAAAAGTTGCCTGTTTCAGTAAATTCGAATAAACTAATGAATGACACATCGCAGTGAAGTTAAGCCATAAATTTCCATTAGTAGTTGAGGTTCGGTGTCACCAAGATTCTGATGTTAAGTTATACCATTAAAATAGGCAACTTGAAGCAATGCAGTATTGAAAAGCTGAATAAGTGAAACTTGTTTGAAAGAAGGTTGCGGAAATACTGCTTGCAAATTAGACAAAAGACAGCCAGAAAGAAGCAATCTATTTCGAGAGACGAAAGAAAACGATTATTTGCGCTCTCAGCAAAAAGTTCCGCCAGCATCATTCCTTATTTTCTGGGAAATTCGGCGACTAGAGTCTATTAAAATTGACCAGAGCAGGTTCTGAAATTGGCTCTTCCGAGTATTTGAACTTGATGCAATGGCCGAAGTAAAGTGTGCTTAACTTCTTGAATTCACAAAGCATAATCCTCTTATTTCCTCTGACTTCATTCTCCCTGTTTTGATTGGGATTTTCTGTTCATTGAAATTGCAGCATGGTCAAGAACTTTTGTTCTATCTTGAATCCAATGAAATTTTGTCATCGTTAACAGGCTTAATACTGTGGGGGGGGGGGGACAATTATTATAATAGTTATAACTAATCGTTATTATTACTATGGATATGAATAAATTGAAGAGTTAAAACAATGCAAGGGAAAATATCTAATTCCAATAGGTATTTAATATTCCTTTCGACAATGCCCTCACAGCATCATATCGTTTTCAATCTGTCGTTTTTTCCATTATATCAGTTTTTAAAATGGGATAACTCAGAGATTGAATGTTTTATTCAAAACCTGTATCAGTATTTTGTTAATTTTTTTGGTGCGCTTATTACCAAAGCCAACTATCCCAATGAGAAAATGGATGGTCTGTTAAAGAGATTATTTTTATCAAATGGCAAGCGTTTTGATGGTTATCATTAGCCCTTTAGTTGACTTCGGGGTTCACAGAGGGAAAGGAACATCAAAGTGAGAAATATTCGAGAGAGGGAACAGAAGAGAGATTCAAAGATGTAAAAGAGACAGACACAAAGGTAGAAAAAATGTGAGGTGAGTGCTGTGGAAGTAGTCGAATATGGCATACAGTGGGGTGATGGTAGTTTGAAGTCAGAAGTCAACTGCCGGTTTATAGACTTTTTTGCCGTATGTGTATACGTTGCCCAGGGTGCACCACGTGGAGGTAAGTCTATCGCGCACCCCCTGTTAAAGAGANTCAAACGATGTTAGTAAGTTCGAAGTGGTATGGGTATGGCTATAAAACTCGGTTCATGGTAATTCTTACAAGATTAATGATTTCTTGACATAAAAAGTGATTATGAAGGCAGTATAAAGTGATTAACAGATCGATAGGCGTAACTATGCATTCAATATCCCCGCAAGCCCTAAGACTCTGTGGTACTTTAGTTGGCTACCTAAAAACCTCTCTCCCTCAATACTCACACTGAGTATTGGCATTTGACGAAATGAGGACAACGCGAATTTCTAAGGTGGGGAAAAGGGGCTTGGGAAGCGAGGGGGGGGGGAGGGGGGAGGGTTAGGTCACAAATGACGTTAGAAGCAAACCAGAGACCTAATTAGCTAAATGGAAGTACACGCACACCTCCACACTGGTTAAAGCCTCCAGAGCGTGAAATAACGAGGAAAGCAATTCTAGGAAGTCATTACAGCCATTGAGTAAATCAAGCGAGTAAAATGTCAGCTCCCCCTCCACCCGCCCCCTACCCTTAGTTGTCTTTATGCTACTTGGCCTTGATTTCCATCTTTTATGCATCTTATAGGCCGTTTACTCTCCCACTTTAACTTAACTTGCCATACGACGTTTCCTAAAAAGCCCACGCGTTCCACAGTTGCTTATTTTAACTTAAGTCAACAAGCCACACTTGGCAAATTTAAAAAGTGGAGATTTTTCAAATATTTGTCCAATTCAGCCTTAATGAATAATCTCAACAACCATTTATTTGCAAATTTTGTCATTTGAAAGCATAGTTCGCAAAGGAAAAGGTTGCAATCCTTATTTTTTGGTTGAAATATATTTTTTTGTTCACTATTCGCATGCATCTCAGAAGAAAACCAAAAAGAGGGGAGATAAAACCCACTGAAATGGTTTCTTTAGAAGGTAAATGGTACTGGAACAATGAATTTTGAATTCCCTATTTGAAGATAGTCCATGGGAGTAATCTTCACTTTCTCTCTCTCTTCCTCTCCCTCTCAAAAGGCGATCCTTTCACTTAGCCTATCAGAAATGTCCACCAATAGAATTATTTCCCTGTTTTGAGAAGGAAAATAGCGTAAGGCGAAGTATGGATTTTATCTTAAATATTTCTAGCTGGCGCTATTCTGGCCTTAAAGTTGTTTGAACTCATGGCCAGTGGAAAGAAGTGGAATAATATTTCTAAGCTAAAGGAGAGGAGACAACGTGGTGGGAGAGTAATGGGGGCGGCAAGTCTTGGCGCATGTCTAGCATTGAATGACAGCGAGTTCGATAAGTCCCCAACCAAATTATCCCTTACTAAACGAGGCTCTACAAATTCGTCTCTTTCATCTGCTCCTTCTCTTTCACACAACTCCGATATTGGGATGAAAGAACAACTGGCCTTTGCGGAAGGGGAACAGTTGGCAGAAAAGCTAGTCGAGGAGCATAAACTTACCGTTGACCAAGTTTGTGGTAAGTGTTTTTGTAAATACTTGTTTATACTAAGCTAATTAAATGAGATGAAGAAGTTAGGTCGGTAAATGTTTAATATTTATTTATTTATATCAAATGGCAGGCGTTTTGATAGTTATCATTAACCCTTTGGTTGACTTCGGGGTTCACAGAGGGGAGGAGGAACATCAAAGTGAGAAGAATTCAGGAGGGGGAATAGAAGGGCGTTTCAAAGGTGTACAAGAAACAGACACAAAGGCTCAGAAAGGGTAAGATGAGTAGTGGTAGGGGTCGAATATGACATACAGTGGGGGTGATGGTAGTTTGAAGTGAGAAGTCAACAGTCGATTAATAGACTTTTTTGCCGTATGAGTATACATTGCCCAGGGTGCACCACGTGGAGGTAAGTCTATCACACACCCCATGTTTAATATTTATGCATGAAAACAAATAGGGCAAATTTGTCCAGAATTTTAACGTAGATTTTCTCTACTTTGTGTATTTACACAGAACAGTCGGGTATAAATTTATACCCTTTCTACGTAAATTTAACATTTACGTCAATGACGCTAGTGGTGATTGTATAATGAGGCGCTTCAAATTCTTGGTTTCCAATTATAGTAACCGATACGTGGAAAGGAAACTCGCCTTTATTATCTAGTTCAAGAACATATCATATTTGTTTAGAGCTGAAAAGGCACACATTACTTATTTACATAATCTTGTATCTTTTTTAGGATTATTTATATCNCCCCCCCCCCTACTCTCTCGACTTTCTTTCACTTTGATGTTAATTCCCCTCTGTAAAGCCTGAAGTCAACTAATGGGCTAATGCCTACCATTTGATTTAAATAAATAAACTAAAAAATTAAAGTGAACTTTGCAGCCAAAAATTACACTTGAAGGTGGTAAGACTTGCACATCTTGACAAAGAGACAAAACAGGCCAATGAGGGCTAATGCAATCCACGGGTTGAATCACGAAATTCGCGTCAAGGAAACTTAATCAAAAAATAAATGAAGCACCACTTTTTATCGCAGTTTCAGTTGCTTCCTCAATTACAAATTTTGGCCTTTTTATCTTACTCTGACCAATAGTAACAATAATAATAATCGGCAAATGTTTACTAATAACTTTGCGGTTTAATTTCAATTCGTATTCTATGGCATTTGTAACAAAGTTGAAAACCACCACTCATGAACTCAACAAGTTAGAACTTTAAAGTAATTATATTCCTCATGGCGCTTGTTAAAACCTGTTAAGCCAGTTGTTGCAAATTTGCGTGAATTCTGACCACTCAATGTATGCCTCCAACTAGATGATAGAAGAGCTTAATTCACTAAGAGGAAGTAAATATCTTGTCTTCGTTGACCCGATGAGGACAAAAAAAACAATAGCATTGAATCGCTGATAAGATATAATAGTTATAAAGGTCATGCTAATTCGGTCCAGTTCAACTTCGGATTTTGAATCATTGGTGTAGTGGTTGAATTTAAAATATGGCAAGTCAGAGGAGGTAGGTTCGATAACCATCGGTACATATCGAGTACAAAGTCTGGTCTGCCATAATTGGTTAGCACATGAGTTCGGTCGATTTGCAATGTTAGTCTCACCTACGCTGTTATAATGGTAGAGAAGCTAAATGGATTTCCTTAAGATACAATTAAATAGCCTAATTGGGGCTGGGGAGGAGGGAGAGGTAAGGCAGAAGTGCAAATGACTAAAGACAATCTATTTACTAAACCAATACTACCTATATGAATTCAATTTTTTTGCGTACTAGTGAAGTAAATGAGAAAATTCAGCCGAACCGATAGCGCCTTTGTGTCGAATGATTGTCAAACTTCCAGGCGACCTATGACTAAGGGATCACCGATGAGAATTTGCTCACTGCTTGGAGTTTGTTTGTCGACATCCTGTTAGGAAGGAGGTATTTGAGTTATATATGTATATATAAGCAGGGCTCAAAGTCGCCAAAAATTAGTGCTGTATACAGCTTTTCCTATCGGCAAACTTATAAACATTTACTTATTTATTTCTATCAAATGGCAGGCGTTTTGATAGTTATCATTAGCCCTGGAACTGACTTCGGTGCTTCACAGAGAGGAGAAGGGACATCAAAGTGACAAAAAGTCGAGATGGGAGACAGAATAATGATTCACAGAGGTAAAAGAGACAGACAGACATAAAGGCATAAAACAAGTAAGATGAGTACTGTGGAAGGGGTCGAATATGACAAATAGTCGGGCCATAGTAGTTTGAAGTCAAAAGTCAACTGCCGGTTTGATAGACTTTTTTGTCGTATGAGTATATGTTGCCCAGGGTGCACCACGTGGAGGTAAGTCTATTCTGAAGATTTGGCAAACTAACAAATTACAAACCTGTCCTCGATCTCGTGGCAATCCATTATTAAAATGGGCTAGAAAAAGCCCCAAAAGGGTCAAGAGTTTCTGATAAAATCTTCAGACTGATGTAATTGAAATCTAGTATTTTCTCTCATTCTCAATATGTTTTATTATATGGAAGTTTTAAATCCCAACAACTATATGGCAAGAACTGGGGTGCGCTATAGACTTACCTCCACTTAGTCCACCCTGGGACCTTTATCCTTTATCATTTTTAAGAAGAAGCATTTAAGGGCATTCAACCATGTTTCACTTAATTTATCTTTAGATCAATCTAGAAAATCGCGTAACCTTATTCCCTGGAGTAGGGGTGGGGACATTTTTAAGGACACCCAGGTGTTTAAAACCTGAAGTTTTATTGTTCTCTGATGAACTACTTAATTTCATCCACTTGGGATCCGTTAATTTCTAATTGCTTTGGGAATTCTAATAATCTCATCAAGATCCCCGTCTAATCCATAGCCGCATAACTTTAATTTAAAAGTAAACACTGTATTGAACATAGTAGCCGGGGTTAGCAAAGGTCACTATTCCGTATATTGGCCTGAACGGCCCTTAGAGTAAGTCATCACGACCAGCCTAAATTGGTCATCGATGTGATATGTCAGATGCCAGGTTCTCATATGATGTCTCTTTATATTTGCGGTCAGATATTGCTCTAACCTTAAAAATATACCCTCTTTGAGTGGGTGTTGGTGAATATTTTGCAATCGCATTGGAGACTCATAGTCTATTATTAACAAGAAAGGTGATACTAAATGTTGTCAGTCCAGTTTTAATTCAACACACTTTCTCACATGAGATTCCGATGCACAGGCATATTGGCCTAAAGATAGCTGAGTGTCAGGCGCGTAAAGCAAAAAAAAACCGCTATTGCTAAAAAAATACAACTTAGCATTTTTTTTTTCCTAATTTCCCACGCAAGCTATGTAAATATAGGCTAGTACGTCCTTATCACACACGTCTCGAGTGCGATCAAAGCTTACGATGACCTGAATTNTGCCCCCCCCCCCCCCCCCCCCCCCCATTCATCATAAAGTCTAACCTCACCCGCATATTCAGAGGATCATGGATTTAAAGTTGAAAGATAAAATTTGGCTTAATAGCGAAAACCTGCAATGGGAAGTATGGAAATATAAGTGCGTCTTTGGGAATTAATCATCGGAATAAGACTAAATTATGATAAGCTTGAAAGAGCACAATCGCCTTAGCTTGGTTAATTAGGTTTGAAAAAGACAAGAGTCAGGTGTAGATGGAATGCTATTCACATTCAAGGTCTACTTCGTTAACGAATTTTGTTTTATAAAAGGAATAAAAGAACTGTACTACCTCCACCACAATTAAGATATATTCATAAGAATTATGATAAATTAAATGTGCAATTTTCCAATTCCCTGATATATATATATGGGGTGTACGAAAGACTTACCTCCACGAGGTGCACCCTGGGCAATGTATTCTCATATGGCAAAAAGGTCTATTAACTGGCCGACTTATCTACATGTGTTGCAACAGAACCATAGTGTCAGAAACTAATCAAAACAACATGGTAAGAGTGTTGAATAATCTTGTTTTACAAGAGTGTAGTTTACTGTTAAGCGCTCACACGCTCTTAATTTAAAATTTCAGGTTTCCACCTCCTCCCTCCCCCCCCCCCCCCCTCCAGATTTTCGAGCAAATTGTAACCCAAGATCAAATATAGTGATTGATCATGCAATTCCAATGTATTCTCTTGTTATTATGACAAAGAGAAGTTAGATTATGGCAGTCATTAATTTGGTCATTATTATAGTAAATAAATATCTAGGACATGTAATTACGGTAATGTAGGACTTTATTCAAGCAACGTCATTCTAAATCGCATTAGTTCTACTTGTGGCCGTCTAGACCTTCAGACAATTAATGTGACTTGGCGACGGAGACATTAATAAGACGTGCGACTTGTCCACTCTTCGCCAGGGCCATTAACACATCCACCGCAGTTATAGAAGCGGTTTGTGGCTTTCATTAATAGCCTAAAGAGAAAGTGATTTTGCCATTACTAGAACAATGTAACATTGCGCCTATTGTTCACTTCTTCAAGAGTCTGGTAATTAAACAAAACGTAACAATTTTAATCAAGGAAGGCGCCTTAACGCCAGGTGTAAATAGTTTGCTTTATGCAACAGTCTGTCTAATAGGTGCTGAACCCTATACCGCCCGAACTATTTTTTTATTGAAAAAATACACCCAACCGCACTCACGCGTGTCTCACAGCAGACTGGTGCCGCCGAAGTGATAAGTTTTGGTGGTGGATCAGGCGAGGGCTACATAGAGGTATTGAACATGAGTCAAACAGCAGTAGGGCCTTTTGTTACGAGTCTAGAACTAATGGAACTTATTTTGAAAGAGGACCGCATACGGTCCTAAGGGCGTTAAAGAGTTAACCAGACGTTAAAAGTTAAATGGAAAATTGCGCAGTTCCACAGGGAATGGAGAAAGACCCTGTTAATCTGAACTCGTTTTGGCAAAGGCTGAATCGCAGGCAACACGTCACAAAATTAAAAGTTTCGAATGTAATTTGGCACATTTGTGAACCCACCCCCCCCCCCTCCCCTCCCAAATTCCGACCCTGTGGTACTTATGTGGCAACAGTTATTAACATTGTCGTCCATGGCCCGACGGAAGTTTTTCTACACATTTTAATCATAAGAAAGCATCTGAATAAAGGTGACATCAAACGCACAAGGAGAGTTGGATAGTCATGCCTGAACTAAATTTGGGTACATTTGATTGTCCATATTTTCATCAAGTAAAGAGGTCATTAAGTGATGTTTTCCACTTCAATCTTTATCATATCACAAGGAATTATTTCCATGAAGTTGAGAGTTTGTTGACTGATCGATTCACTTTCCAGGTCAGTCGTGCCTACTCAATTTATTATCACCTATTTTACGGAAATGAGATTAGCAGCCATATGTTAAATATAGTTCAACTAACTACGGTGAACTCAAAGTAGACTTAGCAATAAATACTAACAAAAATATTGATTATTTATTTATATCAAATGGCAGGCGTTGTGAAAGTTATCATTAGCCCTTTAGTTGACTTCAGGCTTCACAGGGGAGGAGGAACACCAAAGTGAAACAAGCCGAGAGGGAGAGGGCGAACAGAAGAGAGTTTCAAAGATGTAAAAGAGACAGACACCAAAGTGGAAAAAGGTGAGGTGAGTATTGTGAAAGTAGTCAAATATGGCATAGCGTGAGGTGATGGTAGTTTGAGGTGAGAAGTCAACTGCCGGTTAATAGACTTTTTCGCCGTATGAAAGTGATAAGTCAACTGCCGGTTAATAGACTTTTTTGCCGTATGAGTGGGTTGCCCAGGGTGCACCGCGTGGAGGTAAGTCTATCGCAACAACTGCCGGTTAATAGACTTTTTTGCCGTATGAGTATACGGTGCCCAGGGTGCACCACGTGGAGGTAAGTCTAAATATACATTGCCCAGGGTGCACCACGGAGGTAAGCCGAATGAGAATACGTTGCCCAGGGTGCACCACGTGGAGGTAAGGTGTAGTATACATTGCCCAGGGTGCGCCACGTGGAGGTAAGACCGTATGATTATACGTTGGCCAGGGTGCACCACGTGGAGGTACCTTTTGCCATATGTGGATACGTTGCCCAGGGTGCACCACGTAGTAGTAAGATGAGTACTGTGAAGGGGTCGAATATGACAAATAGTCGGGCCATAGTAGTTTGAATTCGAGAAGTCAACTGGCGATCAATAGACTTTTTTGCCGTATAATCTGTGGATGGGGCCGAATATGACAAATAGTCGTGCCATAGTAGTTTGAAGTCACCGATCATTAGACTTATTTTGCCGTATGAGTATGCGTTGCCCAGGGTGCACCACGTTTTTGCCGTATGAATATACGTTGCCCAGGGTGCACCACGTGGGCAGTTTGAAGTTGGGTGATGGCAGTTTGAAGTGAGAAGTCAACTGCCAGTTAATAGACTTTTGGTAGTTTGAAGTCAGAAGTCAACTGCCGAATAATAAAGTGGCAGTTTGAAGTCAGAAGTCAACTGTCGGTAAATGTAATTTTGCATAGTTTGAAGTCAGAAGTCAACTGCCAGTTAATAGATTTAGTAGTTTGAAGTGAGCATACGTTGCCCAGGGTGCACCACGTGGAGGTGCCGTTTGAGTATACGTTGTCCAGGGTGCACCACCTGGAGGTAAGTCTATCGTGAGTATACGTTGCCCAGGGTGCACCACGTGGAGGTGTATGAGTATACATTGCCCAGGGTGCACCACGTGGAGGTAGCCGAATGAGAATACGTTGCCCAGGGTGCACCACGTGGAGGTAAGGTGTAGTATACATTGCCCAGGGTGCGCCACGTGGAGGTAAGACCGTATGATTATACGTTGGCCAGGGTGCACCACGTGGAGGCCGTATGGGTATACGTTGCCCAGGCTGCACCACGTGGAGGTAAGTTTATAAGTCTATTGCACACCCCATGATACCTATCATAACGCCTGCCATTTGAAAGTACGTTGTCCAGGGTGCACCACGTGGAGGTAAGTCTATCGTATTCTTAAGAATAATTGTTTAGAAAACCAGCAAGGGTTGAAAGTTGCCCAGGGTGCACCACGTGGAGGTAAGTCTATCGCACGCTGTCCAGGGTGCACCACGTGGAGGTAAGTCTATCGCACACACCCCTCCGCTTCCAAATAAGATGTTGATAGTGAAGGCATATTTCCAGGGTGCACCACGTGGAGGTAAGTCTATCGCACACCCACTTGGCTCTCCCCTCAAATTTCAACCCTACACGGATGGGCTTGTTTTTTTTTATTTTTACTATTACCATTACAATTATAATTATAGTATTGATTATAAATTTAAATAAAACCCGTAAAGACTGCATCCTCTAAGGAATACACGAACCAATCCTTACCAAGATAAAATCGTTCTCCACCATCCTTCCTCGAAAGTGCCTTTCCATAGTGGTTGACTATAGCGATTTCTCAGATTTTGACGACATAGAAAATACACTTAATATTTGCGACGATCTAACCTTAATAATGCTCGTTATATTATTATTAAATTCTGGTGTAAAGACACTAGACGAAATAATTTTGTAGGTGCCGAACTAGCATTCCAATTTTAAGAATCAGGATGGTTTTGTTAATACCAGTTGTGTTCATGGAATACCTAAACGGTTAACTGGTAGGTAGTTACAAGCGGTGTCTCATTAAGAATTTATAATAAAATGGGTAGCATATAAACTGCAAACATTTAAGTTTGTCGAAAACTCTTCACAACTTAGAGAATACCATCGAAGGAGTCATGGTTCACTACTACCCAAAATGGTGAGTTT